TTTGCATGTCATTTCACAAAAAAATTCCTATGATCCCTCTCAAATTTTGAGTAGTATATAACTATGACCCTTATGTTTATGCTTAAAATTATTGCCTATTCTTAGACCTTCAAACAGTTCAAATTGCCAAAATCAAGGCTTCCAAAATGATATGCTGAAACCAATGTGTGGCGTCACGGTTGCTTCGTCCATCTTTTTATACAGTCTATGCTGCAGTCTCCCAACGCAGTTCTCTATCACGTCAGCAATCCAGTTATTCTATATGGATCAATGATTTGAATATTTAATTTTTAAAATTGCAGCCAACTTTACAGTGCGTATCATGAAAATTCTTGTTGCTTGTTTAGTCATAGAATTTCCAGAACAACGAGGGACGAATGTCAGCTGCAGGAAATTCTGACAATTTTGCCATTTGAGCAGATGTTGAGGGCGCAAGAGTATAGGTGGCGCTTCAGTCATGAGAATGAGAAGATTACTCTGGGTCACTGCTGCATTAACCCTTCACAGTCCATCTGAGAAAGAAAGGTTTACAAAATGGTACACTGCATTGCAGGGTTTTACTACCTCCGTACCTAATGCAGCATATAACACACATGTATATAAGTGCACATGCGATACTAGCAGCCAGTAATTAATGATTTTGAACATTAAATGGGGTGTATAAGGTGAAATATAAGCTACCTCCAAAGGGCATTCAGGCTACTTTGCACTAGAGAACTGCAACTGCATTCCATCCAATATTCACAGCATTTTAAATTTCTTCATCATGACCACATCTTTTCTTGCTGTCTTACCAGAGTTTTCCTGAGTATAAAAGTGATAGTTGAGATAATTGGAGATATTTATCACATAATTTGCATCACAATGAACTTTCCAATGTTTGACATGCCAATGGACCGCTGCTGCCACCTACCTGAGGTTTCTGTTGGGTGACATATATCAGTAAAGCGAATAACTGAAGAGGAGTATAAAACATCAAAGACAATTTTGTGGAAGACAAACTATATTTTCCAAAGTGCAGTTAATGTGAATTAGTAGTTGTAGCCTTTTTCCATTTTTGCAAAAGGTGCTTTAGAACTGATGGTGGGAACAGGTTAATGCAGCAGAAACCCAGAGTAATCTTCTCATCACAGTTAGTAGATATATGGAGCTACCCAACAGAAAAGGTTTAATCAAAATCGGATAAGAGCACATGGAGGACTTTGACCTCCCAAAATGCCAAATTTCACTTTTCCCTGACCGAAGCACCACGTATACTCTTGCGCCCTCAACATCCCACACTTAATCTGTGTTGATTATGTAAAGGACTCCCCATGGTATCATATCATCAATAAACCATCTTGGGCTGTTGAGGGCACAGTCTGGAAATGCCCCTAATATTACAGCTCAAATGGCCAAAAGTAGCATTTTGCAGCGCCCCCTGTAGGACGCGCCCTTGACAGCCCACAAAAATTTTAAGATTATTGCGAGCTCTACCCACAGTAGACTGACGTATGTGAAAATGAATGTGGTCTGTAGTCGGCGCAATGATATAATTGCATTTCATAACTGATTTTTTTTTTTACTGCTCATTTCTCATCTCAGAATCTTTGGCCCTACTGGTACCCCTAAAAAAAGAAACCAAAGGATATCGGCACCTAAAAATTTGCAGTTTTTTTTATCGAACCGTCTTTCACAAAATTTAAGGCAAATATGAGACCATCATATACAGTGGGGTGCAAAAATTTGGGCACCCCTGGTTTAAATGTCTGTTACAATCAATCTCCAAGTGATTGAAAGCAAACCTGAACACTAAATGGTACAAAGATAAACATGACACATTTTATCACATTTTAAAGCAAGAATAATTTTTGTTTTTAACTTTTAACAGTTTCAAAATGATAAAACAAGAAAAAAGGACTTACGCAAAAGTTTAGGAACCCTGTCAGCTAGTACTTTGTAACTCCTCCTTGGGCAGCTGTAACAGCTTGCAAATGCTTCCTGTAGCCAGCTAAGAGTCTTTCAATTCTTGTCTTTGGAATTTTTCCCCATTCTTCCTGACAGAGCACCTCTAGCTCAGAAATATTCTTCGGCCTTCTGACATGCATGGCATGTTTGAGGCCTCTCCACGGATTTTCAAATATATTCAAGTCTGGGGACTGATCCGTCTTTCCTGAAGATACTTAATGGTGGGTTTTGAGGTATGCTTCAGGTCACTGTCTCACTGGAATACCCAAAGTCTCTTCAGCTTCAATTTCTGGACTGAGCTTTGAACACTAGCCTCAAGAATGTCTTGATATTTGGTGGAATCCATTCTTCCTTCCACCCGCACAATATTGCTTGTGCCCCAGCTGCTACACAACACCAAAGCATAATCGAGCCACCTCCATGCTTAACAGTTGGCAACGTGTTTTTTCTGTACAAATGCTTCACCCTTTTTTCTCCAAACATATCTTCTTTGGTTGTGGCCAAAAAGTTAAATGTTGGTTTCGACAGTCCAAAGCACATTGTTCCAATAGGCTTGAGGTTTCTCAAGGTTTTCTTTTGCATACTTCAGACGCTTAATTTTGTGTTGAGGTCGTAGGAAAGGCTTCTTTCTTGCAACTCTGCCATGTAGGTCTTTGTTGTTTAAGGTACGCTGTATTGTGTCTGCTACTCTTTTTTGCAACTCTTTTGCAGTGATGTGGGGGTTCTCCTGAGCATTTCTCACTAGATCTTGGGCCATTCCATCTGAAATTTTTCTTGGTCTTCCAGATCTTGCCTAGACTTCAATTGTTCCATTTATTTTCCATTTTCCTACAATGTTTCTGACAGTAGAAATGGGTAGTTTGAAATGTTGCAGGAGTTTTTTGTAGCCCTCTCTTTGTTGGTGGAAGTGAATTATCTTGATTTTGACAACCTTGGACAAGCGTTTAGAGGAACACATGGTTTTTAACACCAGACACAACAACCACCACAGTCGGATACTTTAGAAGGCATGGAGTTACTTCAGAATATATAGTTCAACCCTGAAAATTATATTCACCTGACTCATTGAAGCACTAACGAGTAAATCACCTGGGTCTGGGCCTTAGGAATCATCTTCTTGAAAGGTAACAAAGAATAATCCAAAAGGGTTCCAAAACCTTTGCACAGGGCCCCTTTTCCTTTCTTATCATTTAAAAACCCAGAAAAATTAAAATAAAAAGAAACCTTACTTTTAAATTTGCAGAAAGGCGTCATGTTTAACTTTGTAGCATTTAGTGTTCAGGTTTGCTTTCAATCACTTGGAGATTAATTGTAGCAGACATTTAAACCAGGGGTGCCCAGATTTTTGCACCCCACTGTATCACTCCCCAAATGGTTAACTGCCTGATTCTTAGAAAAAATGGCTCTTAAATTCTATATTTCTTTGAAAATAGAACAAAGACAATTTTTCAAAGGTTGAAATAGATTTTATTGTTTTTGAAAAATATCCGCATTTTGACTTTGATGCCAGCATCACTTTTCAAACATTGGGACAGGTGCATGTTTACCACTGTGTTTAATCACCACTTCTTTCATCAACTCTCCGCAATACGCAAAATGTTTTCAGTTTAATTCAGTATTGTTTGTATAGCGCTTTTCACAGACAGACTGTCACAAAGATTCTCTAGAGTGCAAAAAAAGGGCAGTGCCCAGCCTAATCCCCACTATAGCAAATGAGGCAAAAAAAAAACTTCCAGTAGGGAGAAACATCCTCAAACAGTGGTGAGAAAAAGCTCCCCAGTGGGAAGGAATCTCAGGAGTAACCCGGCTACAGTGGGGAAGCCTATCCTCCGCGGGCTAGCTAATTAATAACAAAATAAAATAATAATAGAATAAATTGGTAATAGAGTTCAATTAAAGTCCATCTAAACAGTGGCATCTGTAGCTCCAGGAAGTGGCATGTCGAGGATGGAGCAAAACTGGATCAGGACCGGATCAAGACAGCAGGACGGCTGCAGCCAGCGCTCATGGTGAAGGACAGGGCTCGGACGGTCCATGGGCTCAGGGTTGTGGAAGGAAAAGATCTCCACAAAAAGACACAGAAGACAAGGAGGGGTGTCCCTAGAAAAACAAACAGAAAACTGGGGGGGGCACTGGATAAACCTACAGCATAATAATAAAAATTCTGTCCTGTGTCAGGTGCCAAGCAACAATTCTGGGAAAACTAAGATAAGATACACTTTATTGAACCCCGTGGGATAATTTGTCCTCTGCATTTGACCCATCCTATTGTTAGGAGCAGTGTGCAGCCACTACGGACCAACTCCAACTCTGAAGCCAGTTCCTTGGTCAGGAAAATGTGGAGGAAACCCACGTGAACAAGGAGAGAATATGCAAACTCCACATAGAAAGACCCCAGGCCGGATTCAAACCCACAACCTTTTTGCAGTGAAGCGTCAGTGCTAACCACTAGGCCACCATGCCACACAATAACTAGTCCTCCATCCACTTATTGCAGCAGGCTGTGAGATCTTGGAGTGGAATTTCCTGTGTGGATATGACCCAGTCTGTCGAGCTTCAAGCCAACCTGCTCCGATAGCCCAGTGGTAAGTCTCACCTGCAGTGTGGGCAAACTTGATTCGAATCCGCCATCGGCGCCCGCTCCCTCACGGTACCAAGGAGCTCCCTCAAGACCCACAAACTCCAACTCTCTGCACTGCATTCTGCTTGCCCCTGCCTCAAAGTCATTTGTCCTCTGCATTTGACCCATCCTATTGTTAGGAGCAGTGTGCAGCCACTACGGACCAACTCCAACTCTGAAGCCAGTTCCTTGGTCAGGAAAATGTGGAGGAAACCCATGTGAACAAGGAGACAATATGCAAACTCCACATAGAAAGACCCCAGGCCGGATTCAAACCCACAACCTTTTTGCAGTGAAGCGTCAGTGCTAACCAATAGGCCACCATGCCACACAATAACTAGTCCTCCATCCACTTATTGCAGCAGGCTGTGAGATCTTGGAGTGGAATTTCCTGTGTGGATATGACCCAGTCTGTCGAGCTTCAAGCCAACCTGCTCCGATAGCCCAGTGGTAAGTCTCTCACCTGCAGTGTGGGCAAACTGGATTCGAATCCCGCCATCGGCGCCCGCTCCCTCACGGTACCGAAGGAGCTCCACTCAAGACCCACAAACTCCAACTACTCTGCACTGCATTCTGCTTGCCCCTGCCTCAAAGTCATTTGTCCTCTGCATTTGACCCATCCTATTGTTAGGAGCAGTGTGCAGCCACTACGGACCAACTCCAACTCTGAAGCCAGTTCCTTGGTCAGGAAAATGTGGAGGAAACCCATGTGAACAAGGAGACAATATGCAAACTCCACATAGAAAGACCCCAGGCCGGATTCAAACCCACAACCTTTTTGCAGTGAAGCGTCAGTGCTAACCAATAGGCCACCATGCCACACAATAACTAGTCCTCCATCCACTTATTGCAGCAGGCTGTGAGATCTTGGAGTGGAATTTCCTGTGTGGATACGACCCAGTCTGTCGAGATTCAAGCCATACTGCTCCGATAGCCCAGTGGTAAGTCTCTCACCTGCAGTGTGGGCAAACTGGATTCGAATCCCGCCATCGGCGCCCGCTCCCTCACGGTACCGAAGGAGCTCCACTCAAGACCCACAAACTCCAACTACTCTGCACTGCATTCTGCTTGCCCCTGCCTCAAAGTCATTTGTCCTCTGCATTTGACCCATCCTATTGTTAGGAGCAGTGTGCAGCCACTACGGACCAACTCCAACTCTGAAGCCACTTCCTTGGTCAGGAAAATGTGGAGGAAACCCATGTGAACAAGGAGAGAATATGCAAACTCCACATAGAAAGACCCCAGGCCGGATTCAAACCCACAACCTTTTTGCAGTGAAGCGTCAGTGCAAACCACTAGGCCACCATGCCACACAATAACTAGTCCTCCATCCACTTATTGCAGCAGGCTGTGAGATCTTGGAGTGGAATTTCCTGTGTGGATACGACCCAGTCTGTCGAGCTTCAAACCAACCTGCTCCGATAGCCCAGTGGTAAGTCTCTCACCTGCAGTGTGGGCAAACTGGATTCGAATCCCGCCATCGGCGCCCGCTCCCTCACGGTACCGAAGGAGCTCCACTCAAGACCCACAAGCTCCAACTACTCTGCACTGCATTCTGCTTGCCCCTGCCTCAAAGTCATTAAAAACCAGTGAACCTTCATTCTGTCTGTGTTGCTTTTGGGCCCTACCACTCCCAGTGTCATTTTCACGATACTGGGTACCAAAAGCGTGACCGCGAAACAAGAACGAAAACGCCGATTCATTTTGAATTTCAGAAGTTGTCATCTCTGCTTACAGGTAACGTCAACTATCCAATTAATTCATGTGATATTTTAGAGGATAACGTTATTCTGAAGCACATATTTCATCTCGATGGATTATGGTGGACAAGAAATGTGTACGAATGAATCGGTCCCAGCATGATAAGAAATCGCGCTATAAACCTAAAAATATTAAATCAATAACATAAATTATACAGAAAAGTCATGAAAAAAACTGGAAAACTTTTGTGGCTGATCAAATGTCTGCACGGAGTCATTCCATCAAATGTGAAAAAGCAAAAAATGTATGCACATAAAGTATAAAAATTAAAATTTGTCTTTGGCAACGGTCGTTATTCACTGGACACAAAATGATTTTTAGTATTTGTGTTAGTATTTTTTAAAATCGACGGACATTAGCGGGGAAGAAATTCGTTTATCGGCGCAAGGAAAGTAAATTAATCTGTGGAGTAGCAACATTGGAGCAGTCTAAATTTGCGGGAAGCTGGAAAAGAGGCGAAAATGTTGTGCGGTATAACGCAAAGCGGGACACGGGGTCAGCCTATCTTTGTAGTGTTTTCAATATAGGGTTTAAATGATTTCCAAATCATTGCATTCTGTATATTTGTGGGCAAAAGGCTCATCATAGATTTTGGTATTAATATAATCAGTAATTAAAGCTCATCTGCAATTATCTATACTTTTCCCGTTGTCAGAACGTTGATCATTTCTTCTGTGCCGAGAGACCTGTACGCCAGTTGATCTGAGATATTTGAGACACCCTTTGCCTGACTTCCGATTTTCTGCCTGTGCCCATTTTTGGATTTACTGTATTTTTCTGGTTTTGACCCTGCCTGTCCGACTACGATTCCAGATTTTTGTTGCCCTGGTTTTTGGACTTTTGCTTACGGTATATCGACCCTGCTTTTGCCTGCCGTTTAGGTACTGTTGCCCATCTGATTCACTCCTAGCCTACTGAAGTCTGCCTGTCTTACTACCCTGAACGCTGGATTTCGTTTTGGCACCGTTTTTGTGATCTCTGGCTTGGACTCGGACTGAATAAAGGACTTCGATTTTTTTTCTACACTCGCTTGCAAATGGTTCCTGTGCGGAATCATTACAGTCTGCCCGTATGCTGTGAACTGCTTGTAGAAACGTTGTTTCAAATATCTGAAGCTGTTAAAGGTTTGAAATGACCATCTCTAATTGTTGGACTGCGGGGCCATGGGTTTTCTTAAGTAACATCCCTGTTTTAACAGGTGGAATCTCATTTTTTCCGGGTTGCATGTAAATTTCGCACGACGCTATCATGGATCGATATTTCTGCACCAAAGCAGCCTTTTCTAGCTTGATAGGTGTCATAAGTGAAGTGTAATATGTCCATACCAAATATGAAAGTAATCGGTCTAAAACTGCGGCGGAGACGACACGCGTGAATCCATAGTAGCCACCCGACTTTGTCCGGGGGCAACAATAAATGCAGCAAAGTGCTTGAAGCAAGACCTTAAAGTCTTAAACTGCCACATTAAAACCATTCAATCAGTTATTTGCTGCAGGCTTTGCCTTGAAGAAGCGAGGGCGGGCGGAGGGGCTATACACACAAACTTCTGTCCTTTGATCTTGCTAACAAAATCAACAAATAAAAAAGACAGTACCCTAGTGGTAGATTTGGAGCGCCGATTTGGCTTATATTAGTCGTTGTCCGTAACCACTGGACGATGCGTGGGTCTGATTTCCCAGTAAGAAATTATATGTGCTGAATAAGTCCAGCTTTGTGTCAAAACGTTACCATTACAGCCATTTGTTGACAACGATACTCCATCGGCTTTAGCAAAAAAAATATGTGTAAAACACAGCCTGAGAATATTAATCTCTGAAGTTAGATAAATAACATTGTTTCTGAGCTATATTAAAGTCACGGGACCGTCACTATTAGGGGTGGAACGACTCATCGACACTGTCGACAAAATTCGATAACAAAGTTCGTTGTTGACTAATTTATTCATCGATAATTTGTCGTTACGTCATTGCAAACGTATTTCACGCATTGGAACCGGACTAAACGTAGTTTCTCAGGAGCTGGAGATAAAGGCAGCTGCAGAGTGAGCCATCTGACTTAATTCGCAACTCTCAGTCACGCCAGCGCAAATGCGACCGGGGGGAGGACAGAGGAAAGCGACAGGATAATGCGGATTTGGAGCTGTAAATTTATGCACGCAGTTACAATATTCTATCACTAGATGGCACTCCAGGATCATGTATTGAATATTCACAAGCACGCCGAATACTGAATACCGTACTTCTCATTCACCTGAAAATTGATTTAAGAGCACAAGGAGAGAACAAAGAGTGGTTGCTTTTCTTCATTCTATGCGTACTATGAAAAAAAACTTTGTACTTGTACTTGCACGTTTGATACTTAAGTATATTTTTCACAAAATGCTTTTGGTGCTTAAGTAAATTTAATGTGAGCTACTTTAAGACTTTTACTCAAGTAATTTTCTTATGGGTGACTTCCACTTTTACCAAAGTAACTTTCAATCATGGTACTTCTACTTTTACTTAGTTGTTTTTTTTCCAGTGCTTTATACATCTGTGGATAAACCTGGTTTAATATCAAAGGCTCTAGACCAAAGAATGTTGTTCACAAAATGCAGATTTTTTTAATTGAAGGAAAACTTTTTTTTTTTTTTTTTTGCTGCTGCTGCTACCTGTCCTTGGTGAACAGAAAAAGAATGTATTTAATTATTTATATTCGCACTTTACCTGACAACAGTTAAAAAACTTGAATTCTGACTTGAATTTTTGTTTATCTTTTGTCCACAAGTAGCCTAATGAGCAGCAAAGTTTAATAAAACATTTTTGGAAGAAGTATTAATTTTTATTGTTAGTTAGCACATGGCTAAAATGACCTCAAGCTAAATTGAAATGCTAATTGCTAAATAACTATTGAACTGTGCAAGTCAATCTGACTAGTTGATTAATCGTTTCAATAATCGCGGACGAATCGACAATCAAAATAATCGTTAGTTGCAGCACTAGTCACTATACGGCCTGGAAAAACTAAGACCCGGGACAGACTATGGCATGCACCTAAACTTCCAATGAATTTATAGTTTACTTCTGTGTTGAGACTTTAGTTCTGTAACGGACTCAATTCTTCGAGAGATCAAACGTAATTGATGAATGAACACGTGCATGAGAGAGAGCAGACCGGTCGGCTAGATGACAATCACTGCATGGGTTACCCACTGCTGTCGTCACGGCAACAGATAGGCTTAAGTTTCACGGCATATGGCAGGTTTACTAGTGGTCGTATTTTGACGCGATGGCTGGACAGGTTTATATTGCTTATAAAAAGCCGCTATGGAAGGCGAATACGTGAGCCTACCGTACGTACGCACGCAAATTTTACTCAACCGTGCCACAAATTGTTTCTTCCTTTTTTTCATTCATTGTTTTGTTTTTTTTCTTCTTTTTTTAAGGCTATTTTATCTTTTAGTCATAACTTCCTAAATTGTTAATGTTCAATGTGAGCTGCAAACTTTGAATTCACGAATGAGAAACCTAAAAATGCAGATTGATCCATGGGGCTACTACCGATGGTGCCACCTTGGGACAGCTCTGGTGCCTCACTGAGGAACTCCTCTTCAAAATTGCTGCAGTCGTGGGGGTCCTTCTGTGATGGAAAGAAAAGAGAAATCAGTCAGAGTTCAGAAGCAGTGTTGGAGACATATTAATGAAGCTGTGTGGGTATGAAGAAAGTCAGGATGCCCCATCTGCTGGAGTTTCATCCCTTTCAAATT